CAAATTGTCTATTTTTGTGCGCAATCTGAGCTCGAATTAGAGAGAAATTATAGTACAGTAAATTCTCCCTAATTGACGCACTGATTTTACACAAAGATGGATAATTTGGGAAGAGGAGATGCAATTATTCGAGCCTTGCAGCTCGCTTTTTATAGTTGCTGACAATCGGCGACTATAAAAATGAAAACCGCAGGGTTCGAACAATTGCATTTCCTCTTCCCAAATTGTCTATTTTTGTGCGCAATCTGAGCTCGAATTAGAGAGAAATTATAGTACAGTAAATTCTCCCTAATTGACGCACTGATTTTACACAAAGATGGATAATTTGGGAAGAGCAGATGCGATTATTCGAGCCTTGCATCTCGTTTTTATAGTTACTGATAATCTGTGTTTATAAAAACGAGCCGCAAGGCTCGAATAAGGAAAGGTATCTTCTCTTCTCAAATTGTCCATTTTCCTGCACAATCTGAGCGTCAATTAGGGAGAATTTACTGTACTTCGGTGTACCTTTGTTACTTAGCTATTTAGAACAGGAAATCCTAAGACTGTTCTTATATTTTCTGTTTATTAACGTGAAACTTACACTGTCAAGGTTAAAATGACCGTTTTCGCGTTTTCAATTTTTTAACTGTTGAAATTTTTGAAGGCTCTTTCTTTTCCCAGTCAGCTGTTCTCGACGAGTATGCTTGTCGTACAAAAATAGCACTAGTTTGTGCTATTGAAAACAGCTTAGTGGTTAAGAAGAATATATACAGTAAGTTCTTCCGGATATTTCTTCAGCTTCGCGGTTCATTTTTATAGTTGCCGACAATTATAAAAACGAGATGCAAGACTCGTATCTTCTTTTCCCAAATTGTCTATTCTTGTTTACAAGCTGTAGGAAAATTAGGGACAATTTACTGTACTTCGATATTCCTTATTAACCCTTTGCACTCGACTGGTGGCTCCGACTCGTTGCTTAAAATTGTTACATAACATTTCAAAAATAATTTATAAACTGTTAAAAGTGCAATTGTCGCAGTAGTCATAAAAATCAATTTCATATATATTGTATATAATGCACTTAAGTCATACAAAATGGAAATACTGCAAGTCAGAAAAACTATTTTTAATTCAGAGTTAAAATGCCTTCGACTGCAAAGGGTTAACCCTCATCACCCCGAGAATTTTATGAACTACAACGCTGGCTCAAGCTCGACTTTACTGCCGGTTGCAATGACAAGAGTTAAATTGTATATTTTATAAGAGTACTTATTTAATAAACAAAATCTGAAGAAAATTAAATATGATATAATTACAGTAACTTGCACTTCAAAGAGACATTTCATTTCAAAAAGACATATCAACAGTTAACTGGTTAAGGCACGATTCACTAAATCCTTTCATTCAAGCTTTTATAATAAATAAATAATTACAATAAAAATGACGAAGAGATAAATTCTAGTCTTGCCATTTTTTAAAGCGTTAGACGCTTTTAGATCTCGATAGGTTCACTGTTAATCAACGCAATCCGAACCAGGGACTATCGGTGGCAAGGGTTAACAGTTCACAATGTTAATTAAACCGTTGAAAGGTTTTTCCTAGAGCCTTGTCCCACAAAGAGACCAGAAGGGACACACCTTCGGTAAAATCGTACTCGAGTTTTCCAACAATGCAATTTTTCATTAGTCGCGCAAGTGTATTAGAACTGCAACAGGATCCATTGGGGAGATCTCTCCTTTGATTTCGACCGAGCCACTTTCAGGGATCAGACGGACAGCCGGAGAGAGAGCAAAAGGGTCTGTCGGACCGTGGACACTTGGGATTGGGGATGCTTTCGTTTCCTTGGCGACTGCTATCGGCCGGAGCGTAATCAATTGAGCTATCTCACCCTGGAGATTCTTTTCCTCTAATCTAATGCGGGGAGGAGGAGGACACCGTCTGGACCCGAAGTGTATCGCAGTCCGCCGGTAATTGATGCATTAGCTGGGCCGTCTAATCAATTTCTGAGAGGGTCGCTTCGTTTATTTATTCAGTATTTTGACCCGTGCCGGAATTTTCCAGTTTGAACGAGCGTTCTGGACGGGCGATTTCAGAGTGCTTTCGGCAGAATCTTCGGCCGTAGCTTTGTAACCAACGAACATTCCCGCGTAAAAAAATTACGAGATACTCTCCGAAGCAAGCCTTTCAAAACGCCGAAACCTTTTTCGAAAAATATAGCACAGTCTTCGAGAAGAAAATCTTTAAAGATGACTGTCTCGGCCAGCGTTTTCGCATCGACCTGCTGCACACGATCTCCGTGTACGCAAACAACTCTCGCAATTATCAATAAAATCTCTTCCAAAAATTTGTAAATCCGCTTCGAACACGCGCAAATAAAGCTGCAAAATTTCGGCGAGCCAGGTTCGTTCGCTGCCGCGAAATTAATTCCTAAATGCCGAAGCAAGCCTTTCAAAGCGCTGCAACCTTTTTCGAAAAATGTAGCACAGTTCTGGAGGAAACAATCTATAAAGATCACTCTGCACCAGCGTCTTCGCCTCGACCTCCTGTACACGATCTCCGTGTACCCAAACAACTCTCGCAATTATCAATAAAATTTCTTCTAAAAATTTATAATACAGTTTCGAACACGCGCAAATAAAGTTGCCAAATTTCGGCGAGCCAGGTTCGCTCGCTGCCGCGAAATTAATTCCTGAACGCCGGAAGCGAAGACGCGGTTCTAGTCCTGGGACAACTCCGAAGTGTAGAAACGGCAGCCAAGGTGTCCTTGAGCGGCCGAAGGGGCGCGCGAGGGTGTAAGGGAAAGTTCTTACCATAAACCGTGAGACTGACGGGCTCGCTGAGTCTCTTCGCGGCGATGTTCTCCGCCACGCAGGTGTAATTCGCCTGGTGGCTGAGCTTCGCCTGGCCAACGAGAAGGTGTCCCTCGCTCGACACTAAAAGGGTGTCGGACTCGGTGTCGACCGGCACGTTGTTCCTCAGCCAGTAGACCCTGGGCGACGGTACACCCACCGGCGGCAGACACCTGAGTTCGGTGCTCTGGCCCGCCTCCACCGACACCGAGTACGGCGGCGACTCGAACTGCTTCTTCAAGTCTGCGAAAATGGAATTTACGGGGCTCGGAGAAACGATAATGGCGGTGCCGGCGAGAAGGATCGGCCGGGAAAGTTGGACGGAAAGGATTGATGCCGATAATTTCCGTGCTGCTTTCTTTTCCGTTTCGCCACTGTACTCTTCCGCCAGCCCTCCATCCCCCCTCCTCTCGCCCTTTGCCGTTGCCCTCCGGGGGGGCAAGGCGAAGCTCCCGAGCTTTGTTTATCGTCGCGGAAGGAACTTGTTGCCTCGGGGAGAGAAACGAGAGTTATCGTCGTTGCTTTCGAGACGCTCGTTTCAAAAGGGAGGTTACGTAAGCCCGTGGGCAAACGGTCCTACCCTAAATTGATTCTCTTAGAAACTACGGTCATTGCTTCGGCTCGCATTAAGGGTCGGAATTAAATAATGACCGCGCTCGGTAGAATCAAGATAATTAGGTGGGGCCACTGCGAAGTAAGACGTACGATGTTTTTGCTCGCGCGTCGAACGGCCGAATATTTGGACCGTTTATTTCGAAAGCGGTGTCTCGGTCCATTTTCTTTTTTTTTTTTTGAGTGAGATGTCGCGTAATTTGTGCTTGATTTTATTTTATATAATTATATTGTATTGTTATATATTTTATATAATTTCTTTTTATTTGCAACTGGTTAATATTTGATGTCTTGAAATAATGCCGATGCTTCGTTCAATTTAAAATTGATCGATAAAAGAAATCGTTTTATAATTAAATAAAAATATAAATATGCATTATTTTAGTTAAATTCGTCTAAAAGAAATTTATATAATCGAATTACACATTTACTTGTAACTTATTAATATTTGATGTCTTGAAATAATGCCGATGTTTCGTTCAATTTAAAATTGGTGGATAAAAGAAATCGTTTCATAATTAAATAAAAATATAAATATGCATTATTTTAGTTAAATTCGTCTAAAAGAAATTTATATAATCGAATTACACATTGATTTGTAACTGATTAATATTTGATGTCTTGAAATAATGCCGATGCTTTGTTCAATTTAAAATTGATCGATAAAAGAAATCGTTTTATAATTAAATTAAAGTATAAATATGCATTGTTTTAGTTAAATTCGTCTAAAAGAAATTTATATAATCGAATTACACATTGATGAATTAGTAGGAACATTGCCGGCCTTGGCGTAATTAAGCTGTATTTTTTAATTGACAAATACGCTAACCTTTAATTTTCTCGAAACAACAGAAAATGGACTTTCAAATAGCTTTTGCAAAATGAACGGTCCATTTATTGCGCTCTGCCGGTGAAACGCTTCTGCCGATCGCGTGACCGTTCGTTAATTATCACCGGTGTATCGAGAGATTCGACTTTCTATATATGTATATTCGGCAGCAATCCTTTCCTCGTTACTCTTTTTCCGTGATCCAATTGCGAAAAATGTTGTCCGATTGCAAAATGAATCGTGGTCCCCGGGGATACAAATTCTCGATTCGGGAACTAATTTTCGAGGATGCTAAAAATATCGATATCGAAGAATGGACAATTTAGGGTAGAGGAACCAATTACCTGCTTTGCCCTTTTTGTAATCTTAATACGATTTATCAATGCAATTAACCCTTTGCACTCGAAACTATTTAATATTTCCATTCTATGAAAGAATGTTTTCTTCTTAAAATTTAAGTTTTTAACGATTTAGAAAATACAGACGGATCTACGAACGCAAACATTATTATGAATTATAGCATGGCAATCGATTGTGATTCATTCTCGCCGCTCGGGTGCAAAGGATTAACGTGAACCGATTTATTCCACTGAATATCGTTCTTTATTCCTTCAGCGTTTTCTGAAGCTTTTTCATAAACCTCGCAACAAATGTCGCGCATTCGGAATAAAAAAAGAAATTGAACTAATTTCTGTAGCATTTCAAGAACTTCCGGCTCTTACATGTTCAACTCCGAATTTCAACAAATAGGTTGAATACAAAAATCAATCTAGCAAATAGTTTTTTNGAGAATGAAATGAGCTCGGCATACGTTTTCAATGAACAGAATGCAATAAATGGAGAAACTAATCATAGAAGTGACAAACGCTTGTAAATTAATATGTACTTTCGACAATATGAAGCCATAAAACTCGCAGCCGTTACCTAAACCGAATGCAAAACTAAATATTATTATATGTAATATATTAATTAATATTACCAATTAATAAATTATATATATTATATTTTTATATTATTCTTGAATTTCAACAAATAGGTTGAATACAAAAATCAATCTAGCAAATAGTTTTTTATGTACCACTTGACATGATTTAACCATGAAAGCATGTGATAATGTATTTTGTCTTTTCTCTAATCGTTATTGTTTTCACCGAGTTGAATCGTGTCAGTTAAAGCAGACATCCCATAAGTAACTTTAACCCTTTGCGCTCGAGTGGTGACTGCGAGGCACCACTAAAAAATGTTTATATCACATTCCAAGATAATTCTTACGTGAAGAAAATTTAGATTTGAAAAATTGTTAAAAGTATAATATGTTAGATTTACGGTTAAAATGGCTTCGAGTGCAAAGGGTTAATACTTTTCACTGCTCGAACTTTCAATTAGTGCTTTTATTTAATCAAAGAAAGCATAGAATATATTCTTTAAACAGTGAAAAGTATTAATTATATATTAATATTATAAATATATTATTATAATATAAATATAATATTATAAATATATTAGTATTATATATAATAATATTGCACTCGAAGCCATTTTAACCGTAAATCTAACAGTGACTTATACAACAGTTATACTTTCAACAATATTTCAAATCAAAATTTTCTTCACGTAAGAATTATTTTCGAATGTGATACAAACATTTCTTAGTGGTGCCTCGGAGTCACCACTCGAGCTCGAAGGGTTAAAGATACTCCCATAGCTAAATACAGTACAATAAGCTTCAACGAATAAATAGCTGACTGAATTTAAATATAACAAATTCATGTGCCTCGTGGGATAAATATAAAGTTAATTATGCTCGGGAACGAGCTAAAGCCGCAGTAATTGGCTGCTCGCACAGTAACTGGCTCCGCTACCCTGGCATACCGCGAATGACGGGACACTCACAGGCAACGTCGACGGTGGCAGGCTGGCTCTTGATCTGGCCAGACCCCGACCAGGCGATGCATTCGCACTTGAACTTGTCCCTGCCGAAGTACTCCTCGATGTGATCCCTGGTCACATTCAGTTCGCAGTCGACTATCCTGGTTCCGGTGTGCGGATCCACGAAGTCCTGTTGCTGCGAGTCCTCGGCCCTCGCCTCGTTGCACAGGAAATAGATCTGCAACGCGTGCGCGGCTTTGCAGTGCAACGTGGCCGGCTTGTTCTTCACGACGAACGAGTCGACCGGCTCGGTGAGGAACACAGGCAGATGGCCACCCGCCTCGGAGATCAGCTCCGTGTCCGTGGCTATCGTCGCAGGAGGCACGTCGTCCTCCTCCAGGAGGTAAGTGTCCTCGTCCTCTGCGGCATCCTCGCCCTCTGCAAAAGTTAATTACAATTTAATCCGCTGCTGCTAAAGCGGCGCGCCGTCGATCGCTTTTATTTGGTCTCGAAACGGCGCGAATTGAAACGTCTCTAGAAACGTTGACGAATTGACCTAGCGATTGAAATTGTCGTGGATTTAGAGATCGAAGCTTTCTCTTTGCAATGGCTCCGCGAAAATTGGTGTACGATTAGTTTTCGAACGCTTTGTCGAACCTTGAAAACTGTAACCTCCGGTTCGAAAATCGTGTCTAGCTTTTAATTAAGTTCGATGTCATGACGCACGTTGTAGAGTTTTTTCTAATTTTTCAAAGCGATCACGGGATTAGGAATTTAACAGGTTTTAATGTAGACACTTTCAGCTTTCATTTGAGCCCAGATGCATCGAAATAACCCTTCGGGAACATAACTTAAAATTCATCTGAAAGTCCCTTTGGAATCGCGGAATTTTCACTGATTTTTCATTTTTGTCGGAGTTCGAGTTTTTCTAATTTTTCGAAGCGATCACGCGATTACTATTTAATCGAATTTAAATCCTGTCTTAAAGTAGATACTTCCAGATTTCATTTGAGCACAGATTCATCGAAATAGCCCTTTGGGAACATAACTTAAAATTCATCTGAACTATCCTTTGGAATCGCGGGATTTTCGCTGATTTTTCACTTTTGTCAGGATTCGAGTTTTTCTAATTTTTCAAAGTGATCACGCGATTACTATTTAATCGAATTTACCCTTTCTTAAAGTAGATACTTCCAGCTTTCATTTAAGCACAGATTCATAAAAACAGTCTTTCGGGAGCGTAACTAAAATTCCATCCGAACTTCCCTTTGGAATCGCGGAATTTTCGTCGATTCTTCATCTTTGACAAGGCTCCAGTTTTTCTAATTTTTCGAAGCGACCACGCGATCTTAATTTAATCTAATTTACCCCTCTTAAAGTACACACTTCCAGCTTTCATTTGAGCATAGATTCATCAAAATAGCTCTTCGGGAGCATAACTAAAATTCCATCCGAACTTCCCTTTGGAATCGCGGGATTTTCGCTGATTCTTCATTTCAGAACGGCTCTCCTAGAAAGCCGCTGTTTAAGTAAATTATGTAGTCGACTCGCGGCACGAGAGCGATCGCTGCTGCGATAACATAGCGAAAGCTTGATTCCACCGGCGATTGAGAAAATGAGCCGGCGATAGTAGGGGATAGAACGCGTACTCGGCGCACGAACGGCGAAACGGAATTGTAATTATTAAACTCCGTAATTATTAGCACTAATTAAACGCCGGCGAAGCGTCCCGTTGCGGAGGGACGCGGAGCGGAGCGGAGTGGAGCGACGTTCGACGAATTTTTTAAATCCGGGGCCAGACGGTAACGACGAAAGTCGTTACAGAGTCCGGCCGATTTAGCGAAACGAATGTCGTTGCTTATTATCGGCGCACAATAAATTCACGGAATTGGATTATCGTCATTATCACGGCAGGAGGCAGTCGCAATCAGGCAGGATCACGCGAGAGGACGACGCGGCGCCGGACGGTCAGTCATTTGAATTCAAAATACAAGCCCGGTAATCGTAATTTACGATCGAGTTATTAATTCGGGCCCGGGGTTTGTTCGGCCGCGGCGTTTCATCGGGAGTCGTGAAAATTCTATATTTGCTTGTCAACAATGGCCATCGGCCCTCGCACCCAATGCTCGGCCCACCCACGCCCCCGCGCACCCACACGAACCCGTCGCCCTCCGCCTCCTCCGCCTCCTCCTCCTCCTCATCCTCATCCTCCTACTCTTGTAAATCCTGACGGCGGACCATTAATGCCGCCGTTTCGCAGCCCGAAACTCCGCGTTCTGGCTACGAACAATCGGGCGCCGCGCCGCGCCGCGCCACGCTGCAGTAATGAATTTTCGGATTTACGCGGCGCACCGGTGCACAAGTCCGATGCATTTCCCGCCAACGAGTGGTTAGACCTTTATCCCCGTGCGACATTTGGCCGGGGGCCACAATTTTCATCGCGATAATCGGCGGAGGGCACACCCCCGTCCCGCCGTATATCGTTTTCGTCCCGCGCGTCACACTTGAAAAATCGACAAATATAAAATCGCCAAACAAAACAAAACAAAAATAGCCGCGGACGAAACGGGGAAACAGGCGGAACGAGTAAGTGCGACGCGTCGCGAATAAAGTCTCTGTATTTGCCCGGGAGAACGGTTACTCCCCCTCTCTCCCTCTCTCTCTCTTTTTATTTTTTCACTCTCTCTCTCGCTCTCTGAACTTCGCTGAATCTCTCGCTTTCAATCTCTCCCTCTCTCTCGCTCTCTCTCTCTCTTATTTTTTCATCTCTGATGAATCTCTTTCTCGCTCTCTTAACTTCGCTGAATCTCACTCTCTTTCTTTCTCTCTCCTTCTCTCTCTTCTCTCTCTCTCGCTCTCTCTCTCTTATTTTTTCATCTCTGATGAATCTCTTTCTCGCTCTCTTAACTTCGCTGAATCTCACTCTCTTTCTTTCTCTCTCCTTCTCTCTCTTCTCTCTCTCTCGCTCTCTCAACTTTGCTGGCTCTCTCAACTTTGCTGAATCTCTCTCTCTCGCTCTATCTTTCTCTCATTTTTTCATCTTTGATGAATCTCTTTCTCGCTCTCTTAACTTCGCTGAATCACACTCTCTTTCTCTCTCCTTCTCTCTTCTCTCTCTCTCGCTCTCTCAATTTCGCTGAATCTCTTTCTCGCTCTCTTAACTTCGCTGAATCTCACTCTCTTTCTTTCTCTCTCCTTCTCTCTTCTCTCGCTCTCTCTCTCTTATTTTTTCATCTTTGATGAATCTCTTTCTCGCTCTCTTAGCTTTGCTGAATCTCACCCTCTTTCTCTCTCTTTCACTCTTCTCTCTCTCTCTCTCTCTCTCTCTCTCTCTCTCTCTCTGCGAGTCGCTATCGCGCCGCGATCGGTCCCGTTCTGCTATGAATAAGCACGCGACCGGATCACGAACACTTCGTAAGTTATAGCCGTGTTTGGATATGGCGACGGGGGGTTGAAAACTGATCCAATTAGCCGACATCGCTCGCTCATTTTCATTGCGATTTGGTCTCGAGCGATGCTAGCTAAATAGGTTGTAGAATTAGCTTGCAGAAAAATTGTACGCTTCGGAAGTTCGTGCAAATGCTACACGGTCGCTTAGAAAGCGCCGGGTTCTAACCGCTGTTTTTACTTTATAAACATTTATTAAATCAAGATAATAAAAACTATATTTCTTTAACTCTGGGCATTGTATCTCTGTATTCTGTCTTCCTCTGTTGTTCGCCGTTAAACAGAGGAAATGCAACCTGTATGTACTCCCGAGCATCTAAACAAAAATAAATAATGAACTAATTAACTAACTACCTTGCTCTAACTTGTTTGTTCGACCGTAACCACATTTTACTCTAATTTTCTAACGCAAAGGGTTCGTTCCGTGCAAATGCTATAATTACAAATAAATAAATAAATACAAAATATTTCTTTAACAGAATAAGCAATTAAAAACATTTTATTGGATTACAGCGCCAATTTATATGCGAATATATTTTCTACAGATTATTTAACGTATGACGAATATGATGAATATATTATTTAATGTACGTATAGAATAATGAGAAAAATGTCCTCTCCGTGGATCAACCAATTCATCATTGCAAAAATGAAAGAAAACTATCATAACAGTAGTCACCGATTCGTGGATACGTGTCCAAGTAGATCGCCATAAACACGCCAAGAGGTCTGTCAATTACGCCTCAAATCGCAACAGCAGATAAATCTGAACAAAATTTACAATCAATACGCGTGCTCATGCATAATTCATATTCGAAGAAACGAATGCAGTTCGCAGGGAGGGGGGGGGGCGATATATTCTCCTCGGAATACACGCATCCGGAAAAATTGGACGTAGAGAAAGGCGGCGCAGAAATTGCGCCTGAAATATTTACGCCGAAAATCCTATCCAAAGGAACAATAAAACTCGACGGGCGCGTGTTCGGCCCCGAATCGAATTTAGTCGAGCAGAGATCCGCCGTGGCGTTGTTACGCGGTGCGCGACGGCGACGGCGGCGCGGTTTTCGAAATTTCCCGGGGGTGGGGAGAGGTCCACCGAAGATTCCCGATCGTCAAACGGGCGCCGGGATCGACAGACGTCACACGGGGCCGCGCGTCGCTGGTTTTTATCGTTCTCGTTTCCGGTTATTTTTTTTCACGCTGTCCAGGACGCCGTTGCGGATAGAAAGAGCACGATCAATGGGATGGGGGGTGGGGGAGGGTGGCGCGACCAGGCGCAGAGGGCAAAAGTTTCTCTCGCGCGGGGAAAAAATGTCAGAATTTATAACCGATGCCGACGCAGAGATACCTTCAATATCCTGCTCTCGGCGAGATAGGAATCGGGTGACGGGCGAAACGCGCGCGCGCGCGCGGAAGGACCGGCGTCGGCGACGGCTGAATGAATGAAAAAAAAAATACGAGAGCAAAAAAGAGGAAGAAAAAAATGGCAGAAAAAACAAAAACGACGACAGGGAATAAAAAAATTCGGCAACGTGGCGAATTGAGGCGCGACTAAAAGAGAATTTTCATCGGTTTCCGATAATGGGACTCGATCGGCTGTCCGACGGGGTCCGGCGGAATCGTGGCAGCCAGTTTCCGCCGCCCCTGCCCCCGTCCCCGCCCCCCACGATCCGCCCGCGAGCGAATCAGTTCGTACGAAAATCCTCGTTAGCCACTTTGGGCGCAGCACCGCGAGCCATATCGTTGATTGCGTCCACGATCACGTTATAACGTTCGCGAACTCTCGCGATTTTACGCGAACTATCTTTTCGCGTCGTCGCACAGTGTGGTGTGGGTATTCGCTTTCTGTCACCAACATTATTTCACCGTTGTTTCATGGTTTCTGGTCATGATACAGCGAGTCGTTGAATTCGTCGCGATATCAGCTAGAATATTATACTCTATAGATTATTATTATAGAATATTATGCTGTATAGAATATTATTATAGAA